CTATTTTAAAATCACTGTCAGTTATTTACTCTTGGTCTGAATTTAAATGAAGAATTTTTATATGCTATTATTAATCCTATTTTTCAAAGTTGCTCCCCACGCCATCACAGCAAAGATGTTAAAACAAAACCATCAAAAAATCAACTTCAATCATGAAAGACATTAACAGTAACAAAATCTGCATATCTATAATTAAAAAATTCACAACTCCACTACTGTGTATTCATATTTATTAGACATTTTTCTTAAAAATCATAAATGGTCAAATAAGAAAACTTGACTACAGAAGAAAAATTTCTTATTCTTTACTTATGAACCATTTAGAGATGACATCCTGATGTTTAATTTACTATAGCAAAGAAAACGGCAAATTACCTCGTCAAACCAAGCAACAGCGCATCGCCTGTATTCGACAACGGAAAAAGTGATGAAAAGAAAAATCACTGTCAGTACAGACTCGAATATCGTGGGGCAGAATAACTAGCATTCTACAATACTCAATGAAAAATCTGCAATCTTTATTTAACCAGTGTGTGAATATAAATCATGATCATAAATATTCAAAAACTTGCCAAATTCTAGAGAAAAATGGTTGATTTATCTAACAATTGGATTATATTAATAATTCAAAAAATTACCAAACCAGGGACAATTTTTAAGTCTTAAGGTAAAATACATTGCTGTTATCACTTTCTATTGGACTAACAAATCTAAAATAGATCTATGCCAAGGATTGAAAATATTTTCATGGGGCTAACAATTATAAACAAGGTTTTCAACACCAAAAACAAATTTCATGCAAAACTATCAATTGAGAATGATATAGGAGTGACTTTGAAACTGTGACTATAATTGAGTGACTTGCTTGAAAGAGCCAAGTTTATCTATCTCATAAAAAATAACTAGCAAATACTATGTGTTTATTCTGCTCTATGCTATGTATACATTTTATACCATATTCTTCACAAGGGATATACTAACAATATCAGATAGGAAGAACTGGTGCACTGAAAGAAAATGTTAGGAAACCTTAATTATGTGTTACAAATACTTTCAAAAAGAGAATTAATTACACCTGTATGCTATTTATAAACATTTCGCCTCAAAGTTAGTTTAAATTTTCATTCTAAATGTGGTTAATATAAAAACTTACCGTAATTAATTGATGACTGGAATCAAATTGACTTTGTGCCTTACTAAACTAAGCTTATTAAATATAAAAAAGGAAATTAAATATTGTTTTTTATGTCTGGTCACAAAATGCAAAAAAATAAGTTGACCTATTATAACAAAGTATAAAAAGCAAAGTTTGAAGTCAATTAATGCCCGTCAGCTATTCATGAACAAATCTAAATGTAGTAGATGATACAAAATGTAGTAATGATACAAAAATCTGAATCCAAACTGAAATTTTCAGATTTTTGGATTAATGGGAAATCACTGGGTTAAATGCATTAATTAATTTAATCAAAACCCCATGTTTTTAATTGCTCATTGCTGAAAAAAAAAAAAAAAAAATCAGTGTTTATTATACAAAGCAATACATTATAAAGAAAATTTTATTAGAAGGCATTTTGTTTAAATACTGATATAATCAAGTTATTCATTATTTTTGAATTTTAACAGTTTACTTGTAACTATTTCCTTTTATATAAAATTTAGAAATGTATAATCGTTAAAATTTTCTTATGTGTAAAGTTATACCAACTACAGCCAAAGTAAAGTTCCTCTTAAATGCATAGGTACCAACAAAGACATAATTCTTTACTAAAATAATTTTACAATTCGATTACTAATGAAGATCTTGGCTAAACTTGACTTTTACATCTCAATGCCTAATAGTCTAAATATATTCATATATTTAGAAGACTCATTAAAATATACAGAATATTTGTAAATTCCACAGTAAAAGTAGAGAATGAAAAAATGATTTATAAATATAGTTTCAATGTAATAGCACAAACTACTTTTAATGTCTGAAGAAATCTGCTAAAACAGAGTGAACCAAAAACACAAACCAAGAGCAAATGTATCATTAATATAATAGATTCTTTTCAATGAAGAAGTAAAAAATGTGTGGAAAAAAATTATCAAAAAGTCATAAGAGAATAGTGTTTCAAATTTATTCAGAAACATATTTAAAATATAAGAGTGTATCAATAAGGTTATAGTATTGTTATGGGCAGACATCTTACTTATTATAAAACACAGATTGTGTGTGTGTGTGTCTCTGTAACGTTTATATGTTGGATCGAATTTCCTACATTTTTTAGCCGATTTCAACAAAACTTCACAGGACTACATAAAATTACCTTGTAGTGGTTCTAACGGGGCCGAAAATGGGAAAAACACAGTTGTTTTTTTAATAAAATCAATTTGAAAAAACACGATTAAGACACATCGTGAGAATGAAAGGGGGACAACTCACCCACGAAAATGTAAACAAAAGAGCATAGCATGATGAAAAAAAAGCCGAACTTGACGAAAACAAAATTTTATCATCTAATGTTCATATTATTATTAAAGAGGAAAGATCAAAGTATTTTGGGGGTATTTTTTTATATTTTTTAATCATTCCTAGCACGTCTGAAATTTTCGTTAAAAATATTGTTTTTTTGGTCAAAAAAAAGGACAGATCATTTTCATCATTTTTCAATCATTTTTTTCGATTTGATAAAAAAGATTAAAATCTTACTTTGATATTCTTTTAAAAATCAATTATCATTTTTTCAAAACTGATTTTAATAAAAACAGAAATTGTACTGTTTATTTAAAATATTTTGAACCAAGCTTAACTTAGCTTCTGTAAAAAAATGTAATTTGAAAATAAAACAAAGCAGGTCATAACCTTTCGTCGCTTGACGATTGACGAAAGGCACATTCATGACGTTTAGATAACTTACAGGAGGAGAATTCTTTCTACGGATGTAAAGGAAGTGAAAATTATTTAAGTGAACAAATTATTTACCTTGTTACTTTTAAGGAAAACTTTCAAGCGCTCTAATTTTTTTTTTTTTTTGTACTTAGCTTTCATTTTTACGTTTACGATGCTTTATGGAAAATATAAAGAAATTAAAAATAAGACCGTTAATAGTGAGATTAAATTTCATAAGAAAAGGTATCTAATTAATTTAGGTACCTTTCTTATGAAATTTTATCAGAAATATTACATAAAATACTATAATTTTTATGTACATTTATTACATTTTACTGTGTTATTTGTATTTCCATTCATTTTATTATTAATTTTGATATTTCATTTATGGAAAAATGTCATAACTGAGATTAATATAAAAATAAGATCATATAAATTAAAGTTTAGCAGTAGTTAAATTTCATAAGATGATACTGTTACTTGTAGGTACCCTTCTCAGTTGAAATTGAAAACTCAAATTAACTTCTCCATACATGTTTACTTAAAAGTAAAAGGGCTTAACAGCGGAGAACAATGCTGAACTCAAATAATGCAACTAAATTGTATTCTGGTTGGTCTTCCGTACTTGATAATTACTGTCCGACTATAAACACAAAAATTACATTTCTTAATTACCATGGCTAATCTGATTCATCCAAATTATACAATTTTCAAAGCGCTAGACAATGACAATCTCACACGGACATTTTGAAAGGTTCATGTTGCTTTTAACTAATGTTAAAATATTTTTTTAAATTCAATTTAAACATTTTTTTAAAAATCTTTTTAAAATTAAAGAAATAATAAATAATTGTATTAAAATTCAATTTTCATTGAAAAAATTTTTTTGCTTTCAGAAAATATTGTCCATATTCATAAAAACAAATTAAAACAAATAAAAAGCATTTGAAACTAAATAATATATTTGTTTTATTGAGTTTTTGTATGTTACAATTCACAGCTGATTTTCAGGTACATTGGCCAAAAAAAAAAAAAAAAAACACATGATTTGCATTCTTCAAAGCCTTGTGCTTTTAACTATTGTAATCACTAAAACCGATGGTCTCGAATTTCTAGTTTTTCATAAAATTAGTTATGGGGGTGTTAATAAATATAAAAAAAAATATTTCTGCCATGACTTTAATAAAAAAAAAAAAAAAAAACATATTTATAATAATTTTGATCATCTGTGAATAGTTTCTGAAAGTTTCATTAACATCTGACAATTATTTTTATTTTTGCAAGATTTTCCAAATTAATGTGTTTAAATACAAAAAACGCACTAAAAATTATCTATGTTATTTACTACCCCTTGTTGCGACAAAGAGAAACAAGGTTTTTTAAATCAAAATTTAGAATATTCTAAAAAGATGGAAAAATTTTTAAAAATAATTAAAAAAAAAAAATTTAGTCTATCCTCTTCATAAAAACATAAGCATTTTGATGATAAAATTTTGTTTTCATAAACTTTAGCGTCTTTTTCATCAGACTATGCTCTATGTTTTAGCGATTCATGTGGAGTGACTTAGGTTAAAAAAACCCAGGTTGTTTATGTGTGTGTTCCTTTATATATGGGATCGGATTTCTTACATTTTTCAGCCAATAAAACAAACATCCACTTTTTTTTTTTCGGCAGGTAGTATTTCTTATTGTCTTGCACACTTTTTTCTTTATTTACATTCAGAATGCTTTAAAAATTCCATTTACAAGACAATTGTTTATAATAAAATTCTATTCACCAATCGATAGACTCATAACGATTGTAAACAATGTTTTTGTTTGAATTTGGGTTTGACCAATTCGTAAAAAAAAAATTAAAACATGCGTGTCCGTCAACCTTAAACAATAATCTTTGTCTATTTTATTTTTCAGTCTTTATGATGGTCGATACTTGATCTATCTCTTACTGTTACATCCCCGGGCAACGCCGGGCTCTACTGCTAGTATATTTATAAATTTAAATTGAAGTGTTAATTGAAACTGCTCTTACTTCATAGAAAATTAGAATCAGATGCTCCAAATATAAACAACTTATTTAAATCAAAAAAGAAAGTAATATTTCTTCTCATAACTTAAAACAATTTACCTTGATAAATCCTTGTCTGACTGGAAATGGAATTGCTGAATGCTTAAAAGTTGATGCTGAGGGCCAAATATTAGTCCAGTCATCTGTAACTTTCATTTTATGGTACCGGGGAGGTGGGACCTAAAGAATTAAGAAAATACTTTAAACAAGAATATACATACTTTCTTAAAAAATAACTTTCAAAATAAATAAGAAACCCAAAAATAAAACCCAGTAAAAAGTTTATAGTCCTGTCAAAAAGACATTGTAGAAAATCTGAAGTTTGGACATTTGATCAGATTTTGAGAAGTGGATGAGGCCAAGAACTTTTCAGCACCCCCTTCATAATTATACCACTTTACATGTGAACAATAAGCATCCTTTTCCAAAGAATTCAAAGTTGTATCCTCAGGGTCCTTTTTGTATTTTGGAACTAGCAAGAATATTTGGAATTTGCCCAAGGAAAAAATAACTTCAACTATAACAAAAAAATACATTCTTTAACACATTTATTCTGAATCTGACCTTACTGACCTACCATTTACGTTGGTCTAAAACATTTTTTACTTAACTAATTATCTCATTTGAGTTGACTAGAAATTACATTTTGTGCTATTTGATGATCTCTGAAGTCAACCCCACAGAAATTATATTATTTCTTAGGTATTTTGGTTACCCTGAAAAAATTTTTTAAAATTCAGACAAGATCTAAGTTATCCCCATTAAGTCTTTATTAAGTAAAAACTAATTTGATAAACGAATTAAATTAGCTACCTGGGAGGTAAATAGCAGCAGAGGAGTTCAAATCCAAAAATTCTAAGTCCGAGGTTGTAATTCTAAGGGTCAAAAATCAGTCTCACAATCCTAACGTAAGAAAATATTGGTGGCATAAATGGTAAAAACTTCACATCACAACTTACTACCTATTCCTCCATGAAGAGCCAATCACCCCTGTGGTCCAAAGTAGCTTTCTTTCATTGGTGTATGAAAAGTTGTGATTGGTTGAGACTTGTGGGAAAGTACAAACAATTACCTAATATTTCAAGGTATACTAAAGTCACCCCAATCTTGATTCTGATTTTCTTTTTTGATAGCACAAAACAAATTCCTTTCAGAGATAAAACGTGTTTTTCTTTTTTTTATGATACAGAACCATCTCTTCAGCACTCTAGTTAACCAATCCACTCAATTTTGGTCAGATTTCACCAGCACTATATCAATTGAAAGGATATAGTCATCCATGAAAACATTGTGCCCAGTCTTCTTCTTATAAGGATCACACTGGTGGACTTGGTATTCAATCAAGCCTTACCCGCGAGTGCATTGGATACCCAGTGATACACACTTTTATCTTCCTTGCTTGCCATTTAAGTTCAAAGCTGACACCCTTCAGTAGAGCGTTGAGCTCCACCCCATTGTTGTGCTGCAACCAGCATGCATTCTCAATAACCAATCCATTTACTTAAAGTGATATCCCCACAGCTAGGAAATTTGCATCTACCCACATGTTCATTTCCTTTCCACCCACATAATATCACTCTCCTTGGACAGGGTCAATATTGTTGCAGTCAAATACTGGTTTCTGTTACCACTAGTTTTAGGGGAATATCATCTGCTTTATCATCCCAACCTTGCATGACAGTGGTGATTTGTCATTTGATAAAGCCTGTTGGTGTGCAAAGCCACCCATATACAAAAAGTGCCCAACAAATTTTCCACAGAGAAGAAAAAAACACTTCTTCATGTGATGATCCAGTGAATGTCCACCAAATCACTTCCTCACTGAAACCACAGGCAGCTATGCCTCACACATAGACTTCAAGTTCCAATACTTGAGCACAATTTTGCAAATTCTCTCATCAGCCAGGATCTTGCCAGATGTTCATCGCAGTAACCACATCTTTATTGATGTAGATATTATCAATGCGTGCTGATGTTGCTTTCTGTATCGAATCAACGTACCATGTTGAGGCTAAATCCAAACCTTGTCAGTCTCTTAAACACGACAGTTTGGTATGGTTCCAGCAATTTTTTTTATGTGTATCTGCAGGTACGCTTTCCAGATATCCAAGACTGATATGTTTGTACCCTGTCAGCTCTATTTCCTTAATTTTTTTGCACAGATATCCACTTCGGCCTAAATGTATTAATGTATGCAATTAACTTCCGAAAGTCCATTACGAGACGTATCTTATTTTTGTTTGCTTGCATCACAACCATCAACAATATAATCCCTTTGGAAGGTCCAAGTTGTTCCTCGGGATATGGCAGAAACCAACCCTGTTCCATCCAAGCTTGCAGCTTTCCCTTGTACTCCACTTTCAGTTGACTGGATACGGAGTATTCCAAAAACATATTAATCAATCTCTTGGGTTCACAGCCTGCCGTCCATTTCCACACTGCAGTCCAGATAGTGTGCTGCTTGTTGAATACTGTACAGAAATCAGAGCCTTCAACTTAAAAAGGCCATACAGATCAGTGTTCTCTCCTTCATGTCTCCTGTGTGTTATACAGACACCAACTAGTGTTTTGATGTCACTGATTCCAAGTAATAGATCAAAATCTAGTGGCCTCTTGCACACTACCAGCACATTAATTTTAAAAGTGTTGCCAGCTTCTGTACAAATCCCAGCAATGCCAAGTATGTAGAAAGCTTGTGTTTCCCCATTTATTGTGGTTACTTTAACATCTTTTTTGGATCAAATCCAACAGCTTTGTCTTCACTAGAGCAAGAGCACCCCCAAATACAGGAGGGCCTAGCATGGTGTTCCATCAGCATAAATGGTGATGACTAGTAATGCTTCCCTGGGGAAACAAGCAATGCTGACATCTTGTACTTGGTCTCTTTTTCTTAAACACTCCTGAACCATGTACCTAACTTCATTGCTTTCAAAAGCATTGTATATTAGGACATGCTTTTCATACTGAACTGCCACACATCTCTCTAGGTCAATACTGACAGACCATGGAAAAATGGTTGGGCCTAGAGCATCTTATTATAAAACGCAGATTATGTGCGTTTCTGTTCGTTTATATATGGGATCGTATTTCCTACATTTTTCAACCGATTTCAACAAAACTTCACAGGACTACGTAAAATTACCCGGCGATGGTTCTGACAGCGCCAAAAATTGGAAAAACACAATTGTTTTTGCACGAAATCAATTTGAAATCACGGGTAAGTGTATCGCACCTGGCCAGAAGTTACTGCCAGCTACTCAAACGTCTGAAAGCGTCACTGCGGAAAAAAGAACGAATGCCATTAACTTCTGGTGACTCAGCGTTTTTTGTTTTTTTTTCAGAGAACGATACACAAAAAGTAAACAAATGAAACCTAAACATATACAAGTACTCCTAACTAAAAATAATAACCAGAAACTACTTTAAATACACATGGTGTCCAAATGAAATAGAAATAAATAGACATTTATTTTGCATCAAACACTGAAAAAATATATATTAGGTTTGAAACTAAGTTTATATGTATGTGTATATATATATATATATATATATGTGTGTATATATATATATATATATATATATATATATATATATATATATATATATATATATATATATATATATATATATATATATATATATATATATATGTGTGTGTGTATATATATATATATATATATATATATATATGTATATATATATATATATATATATATATATATATATATATATATATATATATATTTATGTGTGTGTGTGTGTATATATATATATATATGTGTGTATATATATATATATATATATATATATATATATATATATATATATTATTTTTATGTATGCCATACATACATATATAATTTTTTATCTAATCATTTATATATGTCATGTTAATTTTTATTACTTTTATTACTACTATTATTACTTTAAATATATTATATTTTTTTTATTACTATTAAATGATGATGATGTTTAAATGAATAACAACATAGATTGCATTTCTGTGATTTTTATTACTGGTTGCGCAGTTAAAGTTTTATTCATAAAATTTTCCTCTACCTTCCCTTAATGCAATATGCTCAAAAAAATCTAAAGTAGGATCTGTAATGGAATCGGTACTGATTTAGCTTCTTGATTTCAGCCGCTTTCTCAGACGTGATGTGGCTTCCCTCTGTCTTTTCTACAAATATTTTCATGGCTACTGCACTGATGAGCATTTTTTCCCTGGTGCCCTGACTACATGAATTTAAGTGTACTACTAGATTGGCATGTAGGTCCCAACTTTTACTGTTGAAATAGTTAAATGTAACTTGCCCTTCTAACAGTTTCTTTCGCAGACGTCTCCATATTGGAACTCCATTCCTCTCACTTGCTTCCCTGATAACTACAATCATCAAAAACCTAAATGCAACATCAGTCACCATGTTTTGTTGCGTTGATACCTGTTCTTTTTTCCTTTCTTCAACCCCCCCCCTACACACACTCTTTTCTCTCATTTTCACTCTCCATAACCCCCTGTGTGATAAGGGCACTTCTGACTTGCTTGTGGTGAAATGCTTAAAAAAAAACAAAAAAAAAAAACCCAAAACATTGAATATAAAATAATTAGGGTACTGACAAAAGCATCTAATAAAATAATTAGGGTCCCATCAATAGTGGAAATAATCGATTTCTTCATGCTTCTACGGCAGTTTTCATGTAGTTTGCGGCCATTTTGTACTGGCCAGAGTGAGAGTCTAGAGCTGGCTGCCATGAATAGGCAGGAAGATTCTATTGGCCAGCATGAGAGCCAACAGCTGACTGACACGAATGTTAACTAGCATGCTAGTATGCAAAAAAAAATCGATAGCTGCATTCATCACAAGTGGGAAAAATTTAAATCTGCATGGCACTTTACTCCAATTGGATCATTCACTTGCTTAAACTCAACGTTGATTCTGTTTCCGCAGAATTGGGTTGGATGTGAAAAAGTATTTGTTGTTAACATTCTTTTTTCATTCGGTTTTTCCAGTTACGAGTCCTTTTTTAAAGCTGATCGTTTTGAGTTCATTTTGTTTAGTTCTTTTTTCGTAACAGATTTAATGTTTAGTATAGAGCTTAGAAAAAATTCGCAGTGATAGGTAAGAAGTAAGGCATGTAGCAACATCAGCACGGCAAAGAGCACTCCTTTAAAGGCAAGGAAGAGTAAAAATATTTTAAGTCAAGTGATAGCGATTGCCGGATGAGTCGTATTATTTTTGAATCAAGCACGGGCAACGCCAGGCCATGCTGCTAGTCTGTAATAAATGATGCTACAATGATTGGTATTTGGAGTTGGGTGATCATGGTTTTCCATTGCCAGAGTAGCTGCAGTAACTGGCTCCAGAAACTCTTCTTCCACAATCAGGTAGTTCAGTTATGATTTTCTTACCTTATACACTATAGCATAGCAATCTAGAATATATTAAAAAAAATTATTAGCAAATTACTTACCATTAGAATGAGAAACACAAAATTAGCAGTTCTTCTCTTACACACCTTTCTTGTTCATTTATATAATGTGAACTAATTTGTAATCAGAGTATGATGACTGCATTTGTAAAAACCAAAACAATCTCATTTACTTTAATTCTTATGACATACATAACAGATTTCTAAAAAGAGCTGTATAGGGCATATATATATCCCAACATAGATATATAGAGCAATCTAAAAAAGGTTAACATAAGTTCTAGAAAGGGAAAAATTAAGTCAAGTAACATATCCACAAGCGTTTAAAATCTGAATTCATTTAAGGCTGCATAAAAATATAATTCACCAAAATGGTTTAATTTTTATCAGGCTCAAAAGACTATGTAGAATAAGGAAATACGAGAAGAAAACTACATAACTTATAAAACTCATTGATTCTTATAAGCAGCAGAAAAATGTGGTTAGTGGTTTGCTCCAAGTATGTGCCTAACAGGCAACTTAGGGAATCAATAAATATATCATTCAACAAAGAATATTTATCAACTTTTATTAGCAATTATTTCTTGAACAACATACCAGTAACAATAAAAAAAATTGCTTGAGCTAGTTTTCATAGAATTAGGCACATTTATTCAGAGAGAAGGTCTGTTAATTTCTATTCAAAAAGTATACAATATTTTCTTATGCATAATACAAGAAATTTTGAATGAAAATTAAGGGCAAAAAAGGGGGTTGCATTATACACAAGTACATGTTTTCAGAAATTTTTACTCAGCTTATAAAACTTTTATTTAAAGCAACAAGATTGAGAAGTTAATTTCAAATTCTGCTAAGTTAGCAATATCTATTTCTGAGCACTTTTCTCCATTTCATTTATTCAGGTGCTTATTAGTATTTATTGGTGTTCCATTTATTTTTCTCACTATATACCACACTTACTACTTCACTGGTGTATTAGTGTCAAGTTTTGATACATATTCTTTCCATGATTTTCTTTTACTGGTTTTAATGAGGCATCTTACCTTTGCACGGAGCTTGTTGATAATTCTGTTGGTTAATTTTTGTTGGCTGAATTTGGAATATTTTAAAAAGTTTTTTTTTAATGTTTAATGGCTCCCCTGCATTCCATTATGAACCAAGGTTTACATTTGATGTGAGTTGACTGAAGATTTAGAGCTTTTTTGTCCCAGCAGTATGCTTTTGCTTGCTTGGGATTTTTTGGCGGGTTACTCTGGAATGGCCTGTTCCATTCTCTCTACATCTTCCACATACTGGGGTTATGGGACATCTGTTTTAGTGTTGGCCAAATCTTTGGCAGTTGAAGCATCTGCATGATCCAGGGATGTATGTTTCTATCGTAATAATAGAGAATGCAATTTTTATTGCAGATGATGGTTTAGGGATATTAAATGTAAATCTATGTATTAGTGTTAATATTATGTCTATTTTTTTTTTAAATTGTCATTCCTTTGACATCTATAACTTTGTTTCCTCAGATTTGTTTTTCTCATGGGAGCATAGAGTGAGGCTGGAGCCTCTGCTTATTCCTTTGGATGAATTTAAAGATTGATGAGGATAGGCTTTGATTTTTAATTTATCAAAAGTAGTCAATTTTAACAATTTTTCAGCATATACTTTTTTTGTTAATTGTACTAATATTGTACCATTTGCCAATTTGTAATAGATGTAGGAGATATATTAGAGGATATAATATTTTCATTAGAAATGGTGACAATTTAGTAATGAGTTTCTATTGATTCAAGTACAATAAATTTATAAAAAGTTTCTTAAGCTCTGTTTCAGTGTCTTGATTCTAGATGTAGTCTTTTAATTTTTGATGCAATGGAAGTTTGATTTAGTTTTATCATTCCGGCTTCCCACACCATGGAGCCCCTTGAGGGTAGATGCTTTGATTTCTTTTTCGGGCTGTAGTAGACCCATTCACCAAAACATCCCAAGGATACAGGAATGGTATACTCATATTAATGAGTTATTCTAAATATTTATTAGATATTCTATTTCTTTACCCCAATTAGGTGAAACATCAAAGTTTAATGGTAATATTGAAATTTTGACTCACTGACTGATCCTGTTACTGCCTTCTAATATTTATGTTTTTTTGCTTATGTTTGAGTATATGTTTGTTTATTTGCTAGGTTATGTGATGAAGTATATGACTTTGGATTGGAAATGTGATTGGAAGTGTTTTAAGTATATATGAATAATAAAGTTTAGCAAATTGATCAGACCAGGTATCTCTGATCACCTGTCTACTCAAAGCAAAGGCCAAAATGGAGTGTTGCAGTTGATGATCTCTTAATACCTAGGATCATCAACTGTTCAGTCACCATGATCCCATCCTCAGGCATCACAGATTGCCATTCACAGCAAACAAGTGGCTCCATTTAGGAAAGAGTGGTCTTACACTTCTGCAGAGATGCAACCAAAGTATTCTACTGCCCCCAGGCCAGGAAAATTAGAAGAAACACACAACAGCTAAACAACCAGTTCATCTCTATTCTTTAATACTATAAAAAAATTAAATGTTTTAGTGAAGTATATGTACAACATTGAGATTTAATGGAAAATATGTAACAACTTTAAAAAAAAAATTCACATAGGGATGATTGTACTGAAGGATGTAATTTATTCAGTTTTTAGTTTCAGAAACATGGGATCATATTATACTCAACTTGTATCATACACCAGAAAATATGGTAGCATAAAATCTTTTACCTTTAATCAAATGCAGGATCCATTTTAATCTCAGCAGGTATGTATACTCAAATTTTTTTTTAAATTTGAAAAGTTAGTGACCCAGTTAGTCATGCTAATTGTAATATAAAATCATCCTACAAAGACAATACTTTGAAAATGAAAAGAATGTATCAAAAGTAGTCAATTTTAACAATTTTTTGGAATATGCCTTTTTTGTTACTTGTACTAATAGTGTACCATTTGCTAATTGTTAACAGATGTAGGAGTTATATCAGTATATTAAAATTTTATGTAATTCATAATACAACATAATAGATAACACTGAACAATATTTGAGTAGAAAATCATTTTAGAATTGTACATGTTTAACATGAAAACCTACTGTTTAGCTAGCTGAAAGTTAGAAAAAGAGCAAAGATAATGAACGGTATATATTGTCAATTACAAAATAATGACTAAATTTATAGAAACTAAAATGGCTATCAAGTTTCTTTATATTATAGTTTTAATAAATAATAAAGTTATAAAGTCAAGATCCAGAGCTTTGATTATACTGCTATGGGTTTCCCAGTGACTAGCTCTCACTCTTTTCTGTCAAGCAGTCTAATGTGGGAAAGGCCACACTCTTATACATCCCTCCTGATGCAGTCCTTCCATGTCTTCCTAGGTCTACCTCAACCTCTGTAACCAAGAACCTTGAACTCCAAGACAGTCCTGATGCATGATAAAGTTCATTGGATGTGACCAAACCACCTAAAACGACAGGTGCGCAGCACTGATGTTACATTCTCAATACCAAGGATCACATTATCTAACACACTTCCAATAGTAATTATTTTATGATAAAGTGTAAGATATTGGTTAAAAAAGTATGAATTATTTATTTTTGGTAAGCCTTAGTATTCTTGATACTTGAAAATGTTTCTTGATAAAAATTCTGATTTGTTCATATTATCGATGCTGTCAAAATGCTTTGGATCTAAATTACAAAATATAATTCAAAGTCTATGGGTGAAAGAAACTGTTGACCAGGTGAGGCTCTTAAAGAATATGCCCAGGGGGAGTGAATGCACCCTTTAACAGTTGATAGCAAAAGTTAAACGGAGTTACTACACTTTGATAGCTAAACTAAACGAGACAGTTACGAAAAATTCACGATCCAAATTCCAAAAATCTGACCCAATGACAAAAGATTTTTTTTTTTAAGTTTTCTTGGTCAGACCTAGAACTTTTCTGTACTCCCTCATAATATTGTATTAATAATGATCTGCATGAAAAATCGGCTTGATGATTTCTTTTTAAATTGTAAAAAACATTTCATTTTGAAATATAACCTTTAAATCGTGTTACTTTGCTTCAGGATTTTAACAAAAATTGTTCAAGTGTCAAAATAAATAAAAACTCTTTCTGCTTTTTTTAATAATATCTCTGCCCCTGAATTAAAAAAGAAAAGAAAATATTTTTCTTAAAATATTAAGAATAGATACTATAATTTTCTTCTGATTTACAATAAAACTTTCAGTAGTTCTTTAAAAAGTATTTACCTCTTTTCTTCTCCTTTTCTTAGCTCGCTGCGCTTCTTTAGGCTTAAGGCCAGGAATCTCAAATACTCTAAATTCATCCTCTGAAAAGAAGATAAAGACACGTGAATTAAGAAAACAAATACATAACTTTCAAATAACAAACAAAAATGTTACTTCAACGTGTTTTATTTTTATTAAAAACAGAACAATTAGCATGTTGAGAAAACATCCAACAAAGTACCAATTTAACAGAAATATAAATAAACTTTTTTTTTTAGAAAAAAATGAATTTAGGTATTAAATTTAAGTTTCACTTTGACTCACTGCTAACAAAATTCAAGCAAACTCGGTAAGTAGTAGAAGTAGCACTAACGGAAAAATAAAACGTGATTTTTGAATGAGTTGCATTGTGGTATTCCATTTGTATCAAATTATTTAAGTTACCAAACAACTGATTCATAGAGAGTAGAGATTTTTTATCTGTTGATCATTGGACGATGTGGAAGTTAACTTCAAACCGGCAATAAAACATGATGGCTCATTAGACAGGAATAGTGTTTTATTCGGATTCTTATTTAAAAACGAAAATTTAAATATAGACTTTTTAAAAAGTCAAAGAAAAAATTGCCGTCGACAATCACAAAAAATAAATAAATAAATAAAAAAATGACCCTTTTTAAAACTGCTGAATTCAATTCTTGATTAACTGGCATTACATGATTAATAGATAAATTTTTTAATGACATATGTTCTTAAAGTTAACGAGTTTGTTTTTTTTTTAAATTAGAATAAAGAATGTGCAAGTCATCCAGTAAAGCTAGAAAGAAACTTTTTGATGAGTTTTTTTATTTTTTTAAACTTTATAATAATTGTAACCAATGTCGAATCAGATCTAAACTGACAAAAAAAAAATAATAATAATAATTCCAGGGACATTAAAGTTGAGAAATTTTAAATTTAAATATAAAAAAATCTTCTTTAGTTACCTACCTATGTCATTGATCACAACGCAAGTTGCAATTTCTTCTAATTAATCAATCAGTAAGTTAAAAAAAAAGTTATTTTTACAAATATAAAAATGTGCATTCTTGAAAAATGAAGTTTTTATTTTATTTTTTAAAGAAAAAAAAAGTTCAATATTCACAACACAAACTACATTTTGTTTTTCTTGTTTACGTACCTCTATCAATTCAATTAAAAAGGTGAAAGTTTTTTTGTTTTTTTTTTGGTGGAATGGCATTTTTAAATTTCATTGGAGTTTCACATTCTTTTAGGATTTAACGAAAAATAATCGCGCTTTTATTGAAGAAAATAGAAAATAATAAGAATGTTATCAATTAAAAATAACGTGCGTCGTTGTCTTTATTTCAGTAGATATTTTTGATTACTGATCAAAATTAAGAATTTTTTATTTATGGAAAAAAAGTATGCTACGAATATGAGGTAATAATAAGTAATACGAATAAATTAAAAAGCAATCTCAGAGAGGTAATTCAAATTCAATGCGAAAATCAAGTGCTAATCTACAAAATACCCAGTTTTGAGTTTTTATGTAGTAATTTGCCATAAGTCAACTGTTGACTTATGGCAAATTACTACATAAAAACTTTGATTCGATTTCAAAACAAATTTTGTTGTCAGAAGAAAAATCTTTTGAAAACTTATCAGGATACAGTTCGAAAGAAGCATGCAGTCTTTTTAAAATACAATCCTTGAAACTTTGAAATATAGAGAAACAAATTAATTGCAAGGGAAACTATGTGCTTTTAGTTTTATGTGTAGTCTGGTATAGTAGGTTTTCTCAAAATAGCAAAGCTAAAAATCAGCAGTAGGACTAACTAAAAGGAGGAGGAAGAGGTGTGTGATTTTTATAGCCGACTAACAAATACAAGAATTACAGAGGACAGTCGAGAGAGGACGGTAGCCATAAGCAGGGGACAAGAAGCACATTTTATCGCTACGTAGTTACAATTTTTGTCAACAAAGACACAATTCTTATTATGAGGACTGGTAAAGAAGAAGATTTCTACCTTGTGTCATATCGAGACTACGAGCACTAGAAGTGAAACAAGCTATTTTCGATATGTGCCCGTAGTAACGACTACAAACCGCATTTCTACATTGTAGGAGATTTCGCAGATACAAGGAGATTCCATAAGAGGCCGCCATACTAGTAGCGAAACTGTACTTAAGCAGCAGCAGTAGCGGCAGAGAGAGAGAGAGGGGGGAAGGAGGAGGAGGCTCTAAACAGAAGTAGGAGAAATGACTATTTACACGATCACTGATGAAATTGAAAAGAAAAATTTTACTGAATATTACTTTAGCTTTTGATTAAGAAGGCGTAGGATTTTGAGTTGGTACACGATTTTTAATAGCAGAAACGTGAAAGTTTTCAAGATGTCCGAAAAGAGCGACAAAATATACTTTTTATAAAAGCAGAGCGACCACAAGTAACTTTAAGGAGTGGGCCCACCTATTTAAGAAGTTACAAAAAGTTCTAACAATTTGCATAACCAAATAACGTCTATTGGCGGTGAGATCCCCCTGTGACTATATATCCGGCACCGGGGGAGCATAATAATATTGTTGTCAAATTTAGTTTAGTTTATTATTTTATTTACCATACTCTTTTCTTCCATAGTGGCATTTTTTTAACATCATCACATGTACAGAAAGTATTCTTACATCAAAAATAGAAATTAGACAAGTTTGTTCATGTAGTAAAAACGAATAATCACAATTGTTTTTTTTTTAGTTCTCTAAAAAAAAATACATCAGTCAGTGTCTCTCTTCAACTTAGATATAAAACAACACTAGCTTAACAACTTCATACTGTCAGTTTCTTTAAAAAGTTTGAATGTTGAAAGAAAGTTATTTTTTTCAACGGAATTGTAACGTATTATTCCTGAAGAGAGAACATATGTTAGTTATTATTCATGTATTATTCTTGTTTATGCTGATTTACCTACCCACAAAGTTATTACTTTTTTATTTTTATTATTTACAAAAAAGTTCTCATAAATTTGTTGATAAATTAATGGACTTTATAACTAAAAAAAATTAAAGAATTAACATAACTGGACGAATAACACTGTGTGTGTGGTGTTTCTTATTTTGTTATTTTTCTACACCGTGCCTAACCACGACTAATGAATCTATATCGACAGGCCATAGTAGTAAAATATTCCCTATAGCAAAAAAGGCTTAAGTGTGGACTCGTACAGACATTTACCAGTTATGTAGATTGATACTATCTTAACGGTGATCTTTTTGTTTTAACTTTTTTTTTCTTTTATTTATTAACTTTATTTTTAAAAGTCAGTGCACGGCACCGGGCCATCAAGTGTCTCGCTCTCTTATCTTCTTCAGTCTCCGAGAGTCAACGAGACTCCGCGAGAAGTTGCACATTTTTTTGAGTTTGCTGCAATGGCGGATGAAAATAAGACAAGTGCCTTGTTACGAAGGCACCAACAATTAAAGCGTTGGGAGGACTCTGATACAAACAGAGAATCGAATCGAGTGCAGGACAGACCAAAAAAAGTAAACTTTCAGGATGGCTGTGTCTTTTTGGCCGCCTGTTCTAGTGGAGATAAGGATGAAGTCCTTAAATTGTTAGAGAGGGGTGCGGATATTAACACCGCCAATGTGGATGGGCTTACCGCTCTACATCAGGTAAGTTAAGGATAAGTTTGAATATATAATCTTTTAATGTCATAAAGTATCTCAGCATTTTTCCTTTCTGTGAATAAAACAACTTGTCTTTTCTGTATTATTAGTAGATTGTCAATCTGCTATACAGGTTACTTTCTTGTTTGTTTTCTTTTTAAACGCCCTTAAAAAAAAGTATGTGTGCTGTACTGTATCCTTTTCTAGTGATGATAAAAGTGGGCAGATAGTGGGGGTTCATTATACAATATAAAAAGAATAAGGAAATTAGTCACCCATTTACTGACCATAGTGTATATATTTTGGGTTGTACATAGTATTTTTTCCAATTCGTGTCTCCCGAGAAAGTATTTCATTTTGCATACATTTCTGCTTAGTAGGAAGAATTTGGGAGAAAAAAAGTGTTTAGTTTATTACTCTGTATCTAACGTTCGGTTTACCATTTTTTGAGTCCTCTGTTTTTTTTGGGTTTTTTTTTAAATAACGTGTATGTTTATTAGTGGCTCATAACTTTGTTGAACTATATTTTTAAGTATCTCCTGATGAACTGATTTTAGTTTAGACTAGAGACTTGTCTTAGGTGGGCAGTCATGAAACTTTAGGCAAGGTTGATCCGCGCTAGTAGTAAGATCTTTTGAAAGAAACAAAACTTATTTTTAAGAAGATTTTTAAGGGAAAATTATTTTACTTTTTGTTGATATTAGTTACTTCAATTCAGTTGATTTTTTTTTTAATGACTGTAGTGTAGTAGTTATCCTCTTAAATTTTTTTTTACTCACGGTTTTTTTTTTTTTTTTTTTTTTTTTTTTTTCAGTTCTGAAAAATATCTTATTTCTTATTTTTAAATTGTAGTATTGAATGAATACAAAACAACAAATAATAAATCGTATGGCACGTTTTGGGTTGTTCTGTTTTGCTCGATAAACTCTGCAGTGAGAAGCGTGTCCAAGTTCTGCAGTCATTTTTTCCCATAAGTTCATTTAGAAATATTGATTATCACTCAAAAATTTTTGCGCCATTCTTTTTGTTTAGTTTTTTATCTTGTTTCAAGGATCTATCTTTAAAGTGGGCAGAGGAACGGCCTAGTAATGTAAATTAAATGCGTTATACGGTATACCAATAAGTCCGTAGCTAGCATAATTATGAAAAGAAAATCACTTTGACTTATTTTACAATAAATATTTGCTTTTCAAAATCTCCTTTATCGATACACTTCGCTTATTCATTAACGTCGTAGATCGAACATAAAAAGAAACTTCAACTAAAGTTGTGACTGTTTACGAAATTAATGATCCACCCTCGTATTTTGTTACTACTTCTTGTGTGTATGTCAACAGTTGATCCACAATCTTGAAGTCAATTCGTTCAAATGTGCTAAGTTGTTCCTATCATCAGCTGCTAATAATTATGAGTTTTTTTAGTGTTACAGGAAAATGTTATTAAAATAAATGGTTTATTTTCTTTGTGTGAAAATTCAAGCAGATGAAAGTTTGATTTATGCGACTCTGAATAAATAACTAAAAAAAACAATAATAAAAAAAAAGGCGTCAATGTATAGCATTGAGTGTTTTACAATAAAAAAAAATCTAAAATGGAAATTTGATTGCAAATCAATCATCACTGAACCGGCTTGTCTTTTTTTTTATCGAACGATGGTGTATAAAGCAAATGTTCACTTATGTGTTAGATCGCAAGATTGTGAAGTATTGTTGTTAATAATAAAATCAGATACAAAGAAAACTTTCGTAAACAAAAAAAAAAAACGTAAATTTTTCTCATTTTTCAAATTCATAAAAAAAAAAATGTGTGCGCGTGACGGACCGGCTCGGAAACTCACTTGCCAAATAATCGGAAGTTTTCGTGCTTTACTTTGATAATCATTTTTTTCTTTACATTTAGCGATTTCAAAAATACTTTCCGACGCAAACATTTACGTCTCTTTTATGTTCGAAATTTCTGACACAGCGACACACTTTTTTTCTTTTCTTTTTTTTTTTTCATAACTACGTCAGTTTTGTGTTGTGTTCTCTCTTTTTTATGCCTGATCAATTTTTCAGGAATTTAATTCACTTCTTTTCCATTGTGATATTTTAAATTATTTTTTTAAATTTTATTGAAACCTAAAGTGTTTATCCTCTTCTTAGCAGTGATTGATAACATCTTTTCTCAGAATCGATAATGGCAATGCTATATGCAATTATTCGTTGACATTGTTTGCAATTATCTGTATTTTATTTTTATTTATTCTTATCTTAAACAACGTTAATTAGTTTGGTCATATGGCATAGAACTGGGTTTTTTAAGTCTTTTATTCCCACTCTTCTTTCCTTACGATCGTTTAAAAATGATCAAATAAAGAATAAATTAAATGTTTTTCTTTTAATTTCAAACGGGTTAAGAAAAAAAATAAAGTTCTTGTTTTCGATGAAAACTTAGTTATGGATTTTTTTTCTTCCCACTTTTATTTTTAAACACAGACTTTTTATATTTGAAATTACTGGATTACTTTTCTATTGACCTCGCGTTATTTTCCAGTCATGGTAACTCAATTCAGTCAGTACGCAATGCTTGTTTTTTACTGTATGTAGCAATTATGTTGATTTTGGTGCAAGCAATTGTGAAAACAAGCGAAATATAACAGCTTGAAGCAGGTCACTAAGAATTATTAGCCAAGAAAACTGTGTCGCTTTCGAGTCATCTTGGGTACGCTAATATCTTTTTTTTTCTTTTTTTTTTATCTGTGCGTATTTTGATTATGTAATCATTTTTTCTACAATAAAAAATTATTCGATATTTTTCATGCAGTTTTTCTCCGTTTTTGAGGACCAAAGATTGACTTATAAATTAAGCTTTCTGAATTTATTTTAAAATCTATTAAATTAAATATGATCATTTGAAAATATAGTAGCCATCCAGGATACCTGTTGTTGAGTTATCTTTTGTTTCCTCATCTTCATTCATAAATCATTCGCGTACGTTTCTCTCTCTTAGTCTTATATAATCAATAGTACAACCATTTCTTGGATGTTGTCTTGTACTCGTCTATAAAATATTTAATTTTCTTTACCTTAGTTTTCTGTATTAAAATAAATATTTTCATCCATGTATTGAACTTGCTTGACATGTAGCATTCTAATCTACAAACTCTTCTAAAAAAATACTTAATAACTTAATTGCTTTGAGAGATTACAGATTTTTGTGGTTCACCTTTAAAACAATGTTAATCGGGTCAGCAAAGTTTTCTTAAAAAAAAAAACTCAATGGTAGTTAGAAGGTCCCTTTCTTTCTGTGTGTTTATTTCAACCTCCTTATCTCTTTTTTGTGAAAGCATGCGCGTAGACCAGACTACTGTATTTCCTGCTGCTCTCTTCTTCCCTAATTTGGTATTCGCTTATTGCACTTTCTATTTGTATTAGTTCTGAAAAAGTAAGTGAAACCGTGGGCTACAACAAACCGCTATTGTTTGATGATTGCCAAACATCAACAATCTATTATAGAATTTTGGCTGTATCACGATGCTTGTGTCTCCAGTAACTTTTGAACTTTTACTCTTCTCGCCCTAATGTTATCTCTTCAATGGTTACTTCAAATTAAAAGAAATGGAACAGTGTGTGTTACGCACACACCCTGGCAAGCAGCATAAAAAAACTCTAATTTATTCTTTTTCTTTTAACGTCTGGGCAATTGAGTTTTTTTTTTTGTTTTTTTAAGAAAAATATCACTTTATTTTAGGCTTATTCAAGAACTTCCTATCACGAATCAATTAGCTTTTTATTGAATATTTCTTATTGATGACTTGTGATCATTCTATGGTTTCTGATGGCGAACACATAGTTCTTTAGTGACAGTCTACTACTTTCTTTCTGGGTTATGCAGTCTGTAAATTATATAAATTTTATGTAATTTTATTTTATGTACAATAAATTTTCAATGATCATTAAAAAAAAAGTAGCCCTTTTTTTTTTTTTTTTTCAAATTTAGTTTGTTTTTTTTTTTACAAGATGTATCATTCTTTAAGAAGACACTAAATATTTGATAATTTGAATATTTTAAATTTAGGGGATTTTAAACTGATAAAATTGTGTGTGCGTAAAAATTCAGATATAAATTAAAAAAAATATCTGTAAAGAAAGAGTAGAAAAAATGCCGAAGGAAAACTATTTCTTTAGGAACGCGTTTCGTCCTCTGATCGATTTTTTTTTTATCAAGGCAAAAACGTATTTGCCTTGAAAGTCCATCAGAGTCCAAAATGTGTTGGTAAAGAAAAAGAATAGTTTTCTTTATTCAACTGTAATCTGTTTAACAGATTACGCTACAGTTGAATTTTACTCACTATTTCAGTAATAAATTTCAGTACTGCTTTATGAAAAGCATTTTTTGGTTACAGCAAAAAGAGCAAACCAATGATTATGAGGTTATGAAATGTTTTGGTAAATACATAATGAAAGATACTTACATACATGTGATCTGTAAAATTTTATTTTTACTTTATTGTGAAAACAACGG